AAAGTCTCAAATCCAAAGAGATATTCTTTATAAAAGTTAAGAGTCAACCACGCCAACCTAAAACGGCTCGTTCTAACACACCCCACATATCTACGTCACTATGTGGGAAGATTTGCATAACACCGCCCAAATGTTCACGCAAAGAAAGAAGGCGTAACTTTTATTCTCGCTGTAGTATTGTTGTTTCCGCCACCATGTCCTGAAGATGCTATGTGCTTCGTTGTGAAAGCGAAACTACTTTGTTTGGTCTTCCAAAAGAGGACGATATCTGCTTTGTCATGCCTGGAGCTGATCCGTGCTGGTTGCTGAGGAAATACTACAACTTTGCTCTGTGGATCCCTGGACCGGCTTTCACCGTGGACGAAGCGGAGTCCAGCCCGGAGTCGTCACATGTCCTTCCGGACGCTCCTTTGTCGAAATCGCCGGCCACGCCGTTCTCAAGCCCGCAGCTTCTGCTCACTCTAACCCTCCGGCCGTTCCTCACTCTAGAATAATGTTCTTTTTAGCAGCATCATATGACCCCTTTAATACATAATTTTTCCTCCTATTTTTTTCATTACCATGTGCCCTTGGGGGCTCCGTACATAAGAGACTTCTTTTAAAAAAAAAATTCCCACCCCGGACTTTGGAACAGTACTATATATAATTTAACTAACTTAATTTCTTAAATTTAACAACTTTGTTGTTTATAAAATAAATACTTTTTATACTTTTTTCACTACCTATTCTAAAAAGTTTGCCTTAAATGCGAGCGTGTAGAAAAAAAAAAAATGTTATGGTCAAAAAGTATGACTTGAAGACTATATTTTAATATTTAGCATAATTCAAAACTCTGAATTTTTATAATAGCCCATCTGTAAATATGGTTTAACAGTGCTCTTGAGAGTTCCTGAGGGATGTCCCATTTTTAAGGTGCAGGTCAGTGAAAACATGGACACAGAAACACACTGAGGTAGATGATACTTACATCCCACAGCTCGTGCGTCCAGGCTCAGGACTGCTGCTCTGGGACAGGGGTTGCTGGGAAATGATGAGAGAGTTTTTACTGGGAGGAGGCAGGAGTCGGTGGGCGGAGTCTATAGGGCGTGACAAAGTGCTGCAGTACCTCACTGAGGTTTCTGCAATATTCATGATCTCATTGCACACTGCCTCCTATTGGTGGAAGAGGGTCGGCCCGATAGGTGGCCACAAACCAGGAAGTAGGGTCAGTCATTCAGATGGAAAATTGAGTTTGAGGAAGGGGCGGTGTGGTTAGAGAAGATAGTAACAGGGCAGAAAGAAGGGAATGTCCATTAATACCAGGAAAGCCGGAAAGGATGGTAGTGTCCAGAGGATAAGCATGGAAGAGTAAGACAACAGAGTGAGTGTATGAGGAAGGAGCGAAACATATGCCACAATCATGTAGGACAGGCTTACTTGCAGGGTACAGAGATTTGTCATGCATTATATGGGTGAGTTTCAGGATTAGATATCAAATAAAATAAAGATGAGCCTTGTGACTGACTGTGATGTGTTTCATAAAGATGAATCAAAACAGAATATGAAACCTATTCATATTCATCATTCATATTTAATCAATATAGATGACATCAAGAAAGAAGCATGGAGCAGTATGTGCATCTAAGAGTAATTAAAACCTCTTGAAAGTTAATTTACCGTGAATGAATTGGCATTCATGTTGTTGTCTTGGATGTCAAACAGCATGACAGGACTTCTTGAAAATCGCCCATAATATTCTACATCATTTCTTAATGGCTGTGGAAAAAAAAAAAGTGACTCAAATTAAACATATATCATATATGTGTGTATGTGCGCACAACGGTTCATGTTCATCCATGAGGTTTGGGTTCAAATTTGAAATTTGCACAAAGAGCAGTATGGTTGCCATTTGATCAGTCCGTTATTATTTGCAGAGGACTGCAGTACAACCTTACAGTACATTACACACATAAGGGACTGGAAAACGACTGTGAGTTAGTAGCAGTCACCACATTTCCTATAAAACTTCAATCAAACATTGAAACAGCGTGACATCATGCTGGGATGCTCCCTCTAGTGGAAAAAGTCTTTAGAATAGCTTATATTTCTAGTGTACGTGTAGCTCACACACTAACGTTCACAAGCCGCGCCGGTAAGACTTTTTAGTGTTTTTTAAATAAGTCACCAAGGCTGCATTTATTTGATCATAAATACTGTAAATTGGTAATATTGTTAAATATATTACAATCTTAAATAACTATTTCTATTTTCATATATTTAAAGCAGCATTTATTTAAAATGGAAATCTTTTGTAACAATGTAAAAGTTTATTGGCCGTTTAAATCAATTTAATGCCTCCTTGCTCAATAAAAGTATTAATTTATTTTAAAAAATCTTACTGGCCACAAACTGTACAGCAGTGTACAGTTGAACATACATTTTTATAATCTAATACAGTACATATTTGTCATTTGAACACAGATACAAAATACAAGAATTCTTCAATTACACAGAATTAACCACCACTATTAATATAAATCAGGGCTGTCAATCAATATTTTTTGTCTGATTAACTACATTACATGCTTAAATCAATCAGAATACATCACGTATATCAATATTTGCTTTAATAAAGACTCCAAATAAGTAATTAATTAGACAAATACAGAAAGTGCCTTTAGAAGTCAAAATATGATTTGTTCTTATCAAATAATTTAACCCTTTCACTGGCCTGACAATCCATTTTACAATCTAAATTGGTCAAACATCTAATTGCCATTAGATTTAGGGGTCCTTTATTCTTTTAAATGTGCCATTTGAGTTTGACATGGTAAAATACACACTCTTATCTATAGATCTGTATCAAACATGCATGATTTCATAATGGGCAAAAAAACAAAAAAATATCAACATCCAAGCTTCATGCTAATTATGTTAGAGTTTCATGCAACAGTTGCTTCTCATTTGTGTTTCTCTCAATAGCGTGGAAGCCTCAAAAGTGTGATTGAAACTCATTAGCATAATCAGATGGGTCAGATATAATTTCCTATTTCAGCATGTTAGATCTACAACTTGTGCCAATGGAAACATTGACTCTCCCTTGAGCTCAGGCACCGTATGATGGGCACCTTTAACAAACACACCACACCATGCAGAAGATACCTCTGCTGGGCTATTGTTCCTGCTGTAAGGAGCCTTGCGGAGGCTGCCAGCCCTGTCTATTTCAGCCCCATCCCCTTCCTGAAACTCCTGATCCAGCCTGTTGCCCCCAGTAAGCCAGCCCTCAAGCCCAGCACCCCCACAGGGACTCAGGCTGCGGGACAGGCGGGGAGAGGGTGGAGAAAGAAGGAAGTCCTCGCCTTGAGGTGGAGTGAAGGTGAGGAACGGGGTGGCCGAGCAGGGGCGGGGCGGATAGGGTGGAGGTAAAGGAGATGTGGAGGGAGAAGCCATGGGGGAGACGCAGTAGGGGCTGCCGCTGATGGGAGGCACGGGACTGGCTGACATGGAAGGGGGCAGATATTCACCCAAGCGGTATGAAGTGCTTGGCAGAGGGGGGAGGGGTGGAGTGGGTGCGGTGGGGGGGCTGCTGCTGACTCCGCCCACAGTGAGCGAAATCCACTCATTGGAGACAGCGTGGACTTCAGGGGAGATCGAGCGGCGGGGAGACCGCGGGAGAGGGAGAGGGGAGGTGGTGAGCCGATTACGAATAGGCTTTTTGGAGGGCAAGGCCGGGTGTCAGGAGAAATGAGAGGAAACAATAAAGAGGAAGGAGGAAATGGAGAGGTGAACAGTGAGAACAACTGTACGAGATAATAAATAAAAACGAATGGGAAAATTAAAACAATTCACATGAGTTGAAAGAAAATGATCCAAGGGCCAAGGATTTTGTCAGGTCTTTACCTGTGGAGAAGCATTAGTGCTCCGATGAGGTGACTGGCTGATAGGGGGATCAGGGTAGTCCACTCCATTTTTCACTCGGGGTCTCTTGTGCACCTCTATGTAGGTAACAGGGAAGATACCCTGCCGGTTAGTGCCAGAAATTTTGCCTTCATACCAGTTCTCATCTACTCTGCGAATCAGTGTAATACGCTCCCCCTACAGGCAGAATTGGAAAGATTTGGAATTAGTTCCTGCAGAGATCACATAGACAACACACACATATTTATTTATTTATGCGTTAAATTTCTGTCAAAATTGACAGTGAAGACATTTACGACTTTACAGAAGATTTATATTTCAAATAAATGCTGTTCTTTTGAACTTTCTATTTTTAAGAATTTTGAAAATAATGTATCACAGTTTCCTCACAAAAATATTAAGCAGCACAACTGTTTACAACATTGATAATAAGACATTTTTCTTAAGCACTTCTTTCAAAAACATTTTAAAAATCTTACCAACCCCAAACTTCTGAAAGGTAGAGTATACAGTATGTATATAAACCATCATCAATTAACACACACACACACACACACACACACACACACACACACACTTGAAACGGTGTGAGCGCAATGTGTTCTTTGGCATTTCAGTAGTCATTTTCTGACAAATTTACCTGTAATAAAGTCTGAAAAGTCTACTGTATGTCTAGATGTGTGACTCAAAATTCATATATAGTTGTTGCAGCAACAAGTATAGTCATATCAACTTGTTGCTGAATTGCTTATATTTTATTCAGCTGGCTGGTGACAAATCTGTTGTAAATGTTTGGCTTAATTTTCAGTGTAAAATATAATACGTTTTTGGAAAAAATGTAAATGATCTATATTTATTTTTAATTTTCCTCTTACATAAAACATTTCTGCTCAGCTTGTTTCATCACACTTTAAGTGTGTTTGGCTTCACATTCAGCTCATAAGTAAACAATAGTAAATAATAATAGAATGCATGACGTTGAAGGATTACTCCACGAGGTAGTTTTCTAAACAAAGCAACTAGATAAAACATATACATATAATACTAATCTCTCTAGTTCTTCTCACTCTATATCAGTAGTGGTACAGTATGTGTGGTTAAGGTTGCCGACCCCTAGACTAAAGCGTAAGCTTCATTAAATTCATTAAACAATACCTTTCTGAAAGACATTTCAACAGCAGTGTCACCAGTGAAATTGAACCGAGCAATAGCCTCTCCATATTCCAACACCTGGACCGGAGCACTCTTTTTGGGCTGAGCCTTTTCTGTAGGGGGCAAGAGCTGGAGAAACAGCATAACAAAAGAGAGGTTACTGCACACTTGAAAACTCTATGACTAAAAAATGTAAAATATAATAATAAAGCATAAAGAAAATGTACCTCAACGTAGCTGTGTGGAAAAATCCCAACTCTCCCATGATGCTCTCCCTCAAACCAGTTCTGATCAACCTGCCGGTAGATGTATACAATATCTCCCTTTTGAAATGGTAGTTCCCTGATAAAGGGGAAGCAAAATGTGGTTAGGTTTGTGATGTAGTATTCTAAATTTGACATGCTGTTATTAACAAACACTTTATGATCTTATTAACATCCATAGACCTGAATTGTTAGACACTTACTTTAAACTTTCTGCTCTGAAGTCAAATCGTGCCAGAGCAGGAATCCTCTGTAGACAATAAGAGACCATTAGCATTATTTCACATTACTGCATCCATTACTATACATCACAGCAACTCTCTTTGTCACACAAAAAGGCAGGAAGCATCAAACAAGATCCTTTAAAGGATAAAATAGAAGATATGTCACCTCTATGGTTTTTCTCTTCTCTTTCTCATTAATAACCAGCAGGTCGCCGAAGCGGTCATTAGTAATGAACTGTTGGTGAGTCACAACCAGCCCAGCATGTCTCCGAGCAGCTGTGTCTGCCTCTTCCTGCTCTCGCTTTAACCGTCTCTGCTCTTCCAGAATTTTCTTTAAACAGAAACAGGCATTTAATTCACATTGAGAGGGGTTTATGCCTATTACAGATTTACCACATTATATAGCAGCAAAACAGGTCTCCATAAAGCATGCTTTAAATCCATCATTATCAATATATATACAGTAGTATGTATTCCTAAACTTCTTAAAACCCTGAATTTAACATTGACAAAACAGATAAAAGCTTTAAAAAAAATTATTTATCATTTATTTTTCTCATATTTTCCAAGAAAAAATATCACCCTTAATATACACCCTTACAAGATACATTTGTGTAGAATAACGGTTTTTTTTTTTTCAGAGAACATATTTTATTTAAAGTTTATTTTTACTGTTTTATGATCAAACCTCAATACATTTGTCAGTGGGGCAGAAAATTCTACTTAATTTCAAGATATACTCTTTGAAAACAAGTCATACTATAAATTTTTCTTCACAAACAAAATAATCTTGTTTTAAGGATGTTTACATGTTGTTCATGGAAAACAACAAAGATACTGATTAAGAAAATGATTTGTTTGTGGTGGGAAGATAATGTAAAAAAAAAAAAAAGGCACCTCTTTATCTCCGTAGCGTTTCCGGACTGCCTCGTCTGAGTTTTTTCCATGATCTCCTTGGCTTAATGGATGTGAGGAATCGGATTCTGTTTGAAAAACCACAGGATTCACTTTCTGTCGCCATAAGCAAAATTACACAAAGAAAGAGTAAGTGCCATAATTCAAATCAGTCTTGGCTCAAGCTCCATTTATACAGAGCTTTAAAAGAATCAATGGGGATGATACAGACACTCTGGAGAGAACACAAAAAAAGAAGGTAAATAAAATACATATCTAAATTGCATGAACATACAATGGCTTACACATCTTAAAGTTTAAAATTATGAGTTTATTCATCTACGTATTTTGAGATCTGTGGGATAAGCATAAGCCATGGTCTGTCAAAATAAAAGGATGCATGCATTAAGAAAAAAAAAAAAGGTAAAAATACACAACATTCAGACATTCTTTTCAAAAATAACTAGTGTAATATGTATAATGCAGTTTTGACAATCAAAACTTAAGACACAAACATGTAATTAAAAAAAATGGTCCAGACGCTTAGAGTAAAAACAGGCTTGTCATGTTTGGGTTACACTATTTTGTGGAATTTGACTTTTTTATTTCAGATCAAATCTGTGAAGCTGTAATTTACCAGGCTTTGCAGTAAGATGCCATTTCTATGGGTAAGAAACAGTTAAATGTCTGTTTAATGTACATACTGCATCTGTTCAAGAATAACATAGGAGGCCTGAATATTTTCTCAAGCTGACAAGAAGCTAAATGACATACCTTTGTCATTTTGTCTGAATTTCAAATACATTTTGGCTTAAAATAAAAACTTAGCTTAAACTTTATTAAAGAAATCCCTTTGGACATTTTTTTTTAAGTCTGTTGCTAATTCTGGACAATATATTTAAAAGATAATGAAAAAAATGAAAGTCTGAGAATAAAAAAAAAAAGTGACATGACTTTTACACTACACAACAGAAACGGATAATATGCCAATCTGGTTACAAACCACACAAAGTCGGCACACAGCAGAAATGGAAAAAGTAAAGTCACTCGGTGATGACAGAGGAGCAGACAGGAAAGGCTGGAGGAAGATGAGTGATCACAGACAGAATCATGCCCGAACATGAGTGTGGACAATCCGACACTCTCATTATAGCCACCTTCAGAGTGATCTTTACTGGCTTCTGAGCCCTCCACATCCATGAGGTCATCCGAGTTGCACCCCTCACAGGGAGAGCTCTCTCCATTACTGAGCCTCTCCAGCACCTCTAAAGAGGACAAGCGCTGGGGAATCATAGGCTTCAGCTTGGCCGAGATGAGATCTCCGGTCATGGGCTTCATAGTAGAGAGTGCACAAGTCTTTTTGGCCTGCTGACTGTGTAGGGACCTCCTTAAGCAGAAAGGGGCTGGTCCCATAAGAAGCAAGTTCCTTGGGGGAGTGCACTTCTTCTCCTGCTGCTGGGTGTTGGCCTGTTGGCGCTCGTGCCTGAGGATTGTGGTGAAACGTGTGTAGGAAGCTGGGCAGGTGCCTTTACACTTGCTTTGTTTGGTGTGGAAGGGGAAGTGATTATGGTCATGGTGATGGTGACCTGTGGGTTCTGAGGTACCGCCAGAGGGCGTCTCTTTGGCAGGATCATGAATGCAACTGTTTTCCTCTTCTGATTTGCCCTCATTTAGATCCAAAGGGAAGTCAGTTCTTGAGGTGTTCGGACACTCGTACAATACAGAAGCTTCCTCTTTGGGGGTCTGGGCCTCTGTATTCATGGCTGGACAGTCCTCAGTGTTTGCAGGCCCTGGCAAGACTAGAGTCTCAGCTGACAGAGCAGACTGGAGGAAGCAGGTCGTTGTAGGAATGTGGGAAGGACTTGGGTTACTAGGGAGTATGGGCATCGAGGCAGAACGAGTGGGCGCAGAGTTCGAACACTGAATGATACGCTCAAACTCCATCACCCGAAACGTGACAGCATCCCGGGGCATGATCTCAGTCCTTTCCAGGGTAATGTTGTCCCCCGGCTTCTCAAAAAAGGAAGCCAGGCAACGGACACTACCGTGGGGGCTGGAGCCCAGGGAGCTCGGCCTCTGAATGTTGTGCATGTTCCGATAGAGGGTGGAGAACTCGGTTGTGCTCCTCACAGATCCCACAACAGGCACATTTTTATGCAGGTTCCTGCTCTCTGGTGAACCATTGCACTTGCAAGCTGAATTTAACCTGTGATCGGCATCTGTCGTATCTCCATTGTGTGAGCCACAAGCCTCCTGATGCAAATCCTCGCAGCTGTGTGCCTTAGGCCGCTGTTGTGTCGGCTCGGTTCGTCTTTCCAGGCTCTTATCGGTAGAGGGCGATAGCCTGGGCTTAAACTTAGAGGGAAGGATTTGAGGGATGCAGGCTTTGGCAGCGGACAAGCACTTTTTAGTCTTATATTGAAAAACTAGTGCATTAGTGGCATGAACTGAGTGAGCATTTACAGAAGAGCAAGGTGAAATCATACAGCCATTCCCACCTTTATAATCCACTGGCAGGCATGCAGGGTAACAGAACAAACAGTGAATTAGATTAAACTCGCAATAGTACCACACAACTGGCAAATAATGAAATTAATGTCACATTAATTTCTAAATAAATATTCAAAATAAAGTGTATTTTATCAGTACAACCAATCTAGAACATTCAAGAAGGTTCTACTCTGAATTTAATTATGTAAAGTCTGAGGTTAGTACATTGCATGATTTTTTCCCCAAACCAGTAAATTGCAAACCCTGCCCTATAGCTGATTCTAAAGATTTCAATAGTCATGTCAATAACAGGGCTGACTGTCTATGCAACACTGAAACCAATGCGAACCCCTAACTCTAACCTACCATACAGTAGGACAGCCTGATAGATAAAAGCATTACTGTCACAATTGGATTTATCCGTGATTTTTCTAAACTCTAAATCCATGAAGTCTGAACTTTTCTTGACAGGTGACTGCATGATGAAGTTGACCAATGAAATCGCTTTTGGGTGAGGTTTGCGCTTAACAGTTTTGGGGGGGGGGAATTCACACCAGTACATCTGGTACTTAAAAAAAATGTCTATGACAATTCAGCATGGATACTAAATATTCACTTCATTAAATTGCTAGTTTCATAATTTGACAGCTAATATATATATATATATATATATCTATATATATATATACACTGAAATCGCTTTTGGGTGAGGTTTGCGCTTAACAGTTTTGGGGGGGGGGAATTCACACCAGTACATCTGGTACTTAAAAAAAATGTCTATGACAATTCAGCATGGATACTAAATATTCACTTCATTAAATTGCTAGTTTCATAATTTGACAGCTAATATATATATATATATATATATATATATATATATATATACACAATATAAAAAATTTAATATTAAATATAATCTAAAAATATATAAGGTATAAAAATAACAAAAAATAAAAACCAAACTGCTAAGAACATGTGAAGCAGAAATATTGAAGCAAAATAACTTAAACATTACGTACACTAAAACGAACAGCATGTAAAAGAAGGTTTTGTTTGGACTATTTTACAGTGCTGATTTACATTCAGATTTGTATTTTAACAAATGTAAATCAGGGGAACTGTTAAAGGCATTAATAAATCATATAACAACTAGAGGTTTGACATCTTGCAAACTGCTAAACAAAACCAAAATATTCATTGAGAAAGGCTCCAGTGTCTCAGAGTTTAAATTTCATAAATAAGTGCTAGTATAGTCAAATAAAGAAAAGTAATTATTTCTGTTAACTTACAATTGCCAATGCCAATACCACACAACTGCCAACTGGAACATGTCTTGCAGCATGTATGTGACTCCCTTGGAAATACATGCATGTGACTGGCACAATAACACTCTTTTATGTTTAAAAACTGTTTTAGAGACATATACACTGAAAGACAGGATATCTAAAATGTATTAAGCATTTACTCTACTTCTGTTCTGACTTCCATTAAGTTCCTCAGTTCAACCAAATGCATCATTTGTTTCCTCTTGTCAAGGTTTGTCCAAACGTGCCAATATGATTTTCTCTTTGACCTCTCACAGGCTCCCCCAAACCACTCCAAGACAGGCACTTACTCCTAATGTGGTCATAAACTCATGTAAGCGCTACTTGAGTGCTCCACAAGTCTTGGGATTTCTCACCAAAGAAACCTCAAGTGTGCTGTGAAGTTACCAACTGCTATCCACAGGAATTACAGGCAGAATGTTAATAGATATTTACTGTACATTGCCAAAAATGCAGCAGGAACAGAGAGGAATTGATAGTAATGATTACTTAAAAGCAGCGGGGAACAGGGAAATCTTGCCAGCCAGATTCAAAGTCCACAACTCCCCACAGCTCAATAGTTTCAATGTGTAATTCATTTTTTGTCTTTAATCATTTCTTTATACCCAGTTATGAATTATAAACATATCTTTATGAAGTGTCACGCATGACTCAACAACAAGATACACGACTGCATTGTATGTTCTGTATTCAAAACATGCTGTCTTGGAAATTCAAGGCAGACAGAAACAAGAGTTAAAAAAAGATCTTAGCCCCTGTCTAAACATGTGGGTCATGTTAACTATTAACGGATACAGTCATCATCTTCAACCCTTTCCGCCCCCCTGCCAACCCAAGCAGCCCATCCTCGGGTCAAATGTGCTAGCATTCCATTCATGACCTCACTCTGACAGCTGACCCCTCATACTTGACCACCCCTGAACATGCTGCAAGTTTATCTCCTTTGCAGGGTGAGTGTCTACCATCAGATCCACCTATTAATCTCTACGTCCATCCCCTTTCCTCTCGGTCCACAACATGGCCCACTTCTAAAACAGTTGTACACCCCACTGAGCCGAACCTCATGAGCTCATTCTGTCTAACAGGCCAGTGTGGAGAGAATGACTAAAGGTCAAACTGGACATCTGTTGTGTTTCAACTGTGAAAAATGGCCAACTTTAACAAAACACAGAAAGACAAATGAGCTGCGTTATTTGTGTGGTATTGTGAAGGAAGGAAGGAATGTGGAAAATGCTGATGAAAAGGGGCTCAACGGGCTACAAATGGACCGGCTTTACAATAACGTGGTGTGATTTTGATTATAAATCCTTAAATCAAAATCATTTCAAACCTGATTAACATTTGAATCTCAATAAACATATATAAAACAGACTGGAAGCCTACCTTTAGAAGAAGTACTGGGGTGGTGCTTGTTAAGCGCTTTCAGGCCCTGCAGTGGGATGTCGCCGCCCTCCAGGACACTCTTGTAAATGTGCCGATCATATTCCGGAACTGCCTGCCCACTGGCAGACAAGCTGTCCTTCTTCTCCACTTCACCGTTGCCTGCTTTAGAGGCTGAGCTGGGCACAAATAGAGATATGAAGCTGTGACTCACATAAATCATCGTCTTCATGTGACATATCTGAACAGAACAGAATGCTAGTTCCACATTTACTGTATATGACTAGAAAATTATTGTTATTAAAAGATATAGAAAATAGAAATAGAAAATAGAAACTATTGAAATACTATACTACAGAAATAAAAATACTATAAATTAAATAAAAAAAATACTTTGCCATGGATTATATTTGAACACTGTACATTGAAGATTTATTTTGGCACACTTACTAACCTACTCATACTTTTGAAGAAAAAAAATGTATATATGTATATATATATATATATATATATATATATAAAGAATTATTATTATTATTATTATTATATGCTTTATGTATGCTTCAAATTTATAAATAGTCACATTATTTTACAAATAAAGAAATTAATTCATGACTGAAGAAGTCTTAAGTCGCTGGGGTATATTTGTAGCAATAGCCAAAAATACATTGTATGGGTCAAAATTATAGATTTTTCTTTTATGCCAAAAATCATTAGGATATTAATTAAAGATCATGTTCCATGAAGATATTTTGTAAATTTCCTACTGTATATCAAAACTTAATTTTTGATTTGTAATATGCACTGCTAAGAACTTTAGTTGGACAACTTTAAAGTCGATTTTCTCAATATTTAGATTTTTTTGCACCCTCAGATTCCAGATTTTCAAATAGTTGTATCTCAGCCAAATGTTGTCCCATCCTAACAAACCATACATCAATGGAAAGCTTATTTATTCAGTATAAATGTATGTATAAATTTCAATTTCGAAAAATTTACCCTTATGACTGGTTTTGTGGTCCAGGGTCACATTTGAGAACACTAACTAAACCCGCTCATACTTAATATTTGACATTTTTTTGAAAAAAATTGATTATTATATGCTTTAAATTAATACATATTAATAAATAAATTAAAAGATGAATTAAAAAAGAAATAAAAAAGAATTAATTCTTGATAAAAAAAAAAAGAATATTCAATTTACTTGTGATGTAGGCCAAACTATTTAAAACCGTCTGAGAACTTTTTAGTCAGCCTGTGTTTGCTCTTTGATATAGATGAGACAGCAGCAGCTGCTCTGGCCCTTATCACAACATTCCTCAGAGGCCTGTGTGGCATCCTTTAAAAAACATGCTTGAAGCTTTCCACATGTAGCAGTTAGAACCTTGGCATTTAAACCTTCAGTATGTGCTTGCAGGAAACCATACAGAAGTTTTTAGGGATGCGCACCTTTAATAACTTGTCTTGTGTCAGGTCTTCCCATATAATGAGCTGTAGTCACTCTGTATAATTTTTACATGTTTGTATAGGAAAAATGTAAGTATATCATGCTTACTTATCAAATATGGCACTTTGATGTATGCAATAAAGTGATAAAATGGCCACAAGTGCTCAAAACCCTAAACCAGACCAGCCTGACAGTCCAAAGAAGACCTTAATTTGTTTTTTTCAGCAGGGTTAACATAACAGACTCACATGGGAGACATGCTAAGTGATTTGGGAGGGAATTTTAACCATGACAAGGATTTTCGGAGAGAATCATATAAACAGTTACTACTCAACATGCCAATAAAATCCTAAGGGCCCTAGCATACTTTCCTACTTCTTCATAGTTGGAAACAATAAAATACCCATTATTCAACAAAAATGATGTGTGCGAACAAGACACTGTTCTTGTTACTCCCACTTTATGAATTATTCCATCATACTGCACATATAATAAAGTCTTCATGAATGACATCAATCCAGGGATGTATCGGATGCTTTCCACTGGAGAAGTGTGAGGTGAACACACGTCATTCCAGACGCCACTGGCTCCAAACTCAGGAACCTGAGCAGCTGCCTGACAACTGCTGGAGCAGAGATGGTCTTAGCAGATTTATCTGACCATTAGTAAAGCCAAGTCAAGTATTTTCATGCTTTTCGGCTCCTTGTCAAGGATCTGTTAGCCATAAAGCAGAACTATGTTTCTCTCAGGGTTACACTTACACAGGGTTTGTCTCGCACACATTCCTCAAGTCATGAGAGCATATTTTCGGTTTAGTGTTTTGGCTGAACAACACTTGTTTGTTTTGTTGTAAACAAAATAATAAAAAAAATTATTCTTCTATGTTTACACTATTTCTTTAGATCCCTCACTGTTCTAGCTTGTACTATTCTGGATATTCAATATTTGAATATTTGCACTTCTCGTGTTATTGCCTCCTTAAGATTAATCGTTTTTGTATTCTTCAAGTCACTTTGGATAACACTGTCTGCTAAATTAATCAATGTAAATGAATAAATGTTTTCTTTGTAAATTGTATTGTATTGTATTTTATTTTAAAATATAATTAATAAAATGTATGATTAAATTTGTTATTAATACAATTTTAAAAACCTGTTCAAATGTAAAAGTTCTTAAAAAGATCTTAAAAGTATCATTTAAAGACATAATATTGCTGTTGTGAAGGCGATATCACGTAAATGCCCCATTCCAGGGAAAGATATCAATTAAAAAAATGACACTTCACTTTCACAAACAGCACATTAAGAATTGGGGGATTTCTGCTAACAGAATGGGCGGATGTACAAGGTCCCTTATCTCTCTTAAAAAGAAAGCCAGGCTTTAATTTCAGACACTAGTTTCAGCACAAAACAAATCATCACACTATCCATGGCCTCTCCTACAACAAGCCCCCTCCATGAACGCAGGCACACATGCACGCAAACATACATCACATAAACACATACAGCCTGTGTTGCAAATGCACGTTCAGGAAACAGAAAAAGGAAACGAGGGAAATCTCCAGAGCCCCGTGACAGCTCTGCCTGAGAATAGATGGCTGGAGAGCAAGACAGACACACAAACACACCCACATACAACAAGGGCGTCAGAAAATGGTGGAGAGGAACATTTGTGAGGGAAAAAAGGAACATGGACTTACTATTGCTGTAGGTCAGAAGATGTTTCCAAGGGGCTGAAAGAGGGGGCACTCTGCAACAAACCAAACAAAGAAGTCATTGATAGCTCCAAAGGCTTGACTCTCTGGCAGCTGGGAAGGGAGAAGGCGCATTAGTCAGTCAGGCTTGCGAACGACTGCTGCATCCAAAGCTCTGAAACTCTTAGGTCCTCCGGACGAAGCCAAGCGTGGAGAAGTAAGCAAGTATTTTGGCCTGCATGCAAGTTAGGGGGGGAAAACAAGCGACTGGGAGCGAGGGGTGGGATTAGCGGGGGCGCCCATTTTGGGAGGGGGCTGTCAGCGCTTCCACCAATCAGCTGCTGTCTCTCACAGAGGCTCTCTTTTGTCTTCTATTGAGTCACTCTCATTACTGGCCGGCCAGACACAGAGACAATTAACCAGCTGGTGTGGGAAGCAGGCCAAATTACATGGGCAGATGCGGACACACACACAAATAGATTTACATACATGTATTAAGAATATCACGAGTGTTGGATCGAACATGCTATATAAAATCACAGGCCGATATTAATAGTACATCAAAGGAAGTTCACATAACGGGCATCCAGTGCTGGGTAGTAACTGAATACATGCAATCTCATTACATAATCAGATTCCAAAATTCAAATACTTGTAATTCGATAATATACATTTTAAAATGCTTATAATCCGATTACAATTACTTTTTGTAATGATTACATATTCACAAATTTTTTAAGCTAAAATATTTACCCGAATCCCCTGCGAGAATTACATTTTTTATATTATAATCTAACAACACATTTGCATGTACACAGTTCTCTGATGTCAGTTAATGGTCACACTGACAAGCAGGTAAACAAATGAAATATTTATATTTTTAGTGTTCAGGGTTTTTTTTATATTATTTTAAAAGCATTTATTTTTCTTAAAGTTTACATTTTTATGATTTAATGAATTAGCTTTTCATAAATTCACGAACCCCCTGCAGTTACTTCACAAACCCCAGTTTGAGAAACTCTGACATTTAATGCACTTCACCCTGTTGATAATAAAATAAATAATGTGGTACACAATAATCCTATTCAAATCTATGTGATCAACAAGTTCGGTCAAAAGTAATGTAAAAGTAATTAAAAGTAGTATTATATTATCTAAAATGTGTAAGGTAATGGATTACACTGCTGACTACAATTTCCATCATGTCTAATATTGTGAAATATTATTACAATTTAAAATAGATGTTTTCTATTTTAATAATATATATTTTAAATTGTAATATATACCTGTGATGACAAAGCTGAATTTTCAACAGCATTTACCCTAGTCTTCAGTGTCACATGATCCTTTTGATCACATGATTTATTTCATTCGAACTCTATTTTATTCTAATATACTGGTTAGGTGCTCAATTTATTCTTTTTTTTATTATCAATGTTGCTTTTTTTCAGCATAAAAAGTTCAAAAGAAATGCATTTTTTAACAATGTAAAAGTCTTTAATGTCACTTTTGATCAATTTAATGTGTCCATGCTGAATAAAAGCTTTCATTTTGCATAAAATAAAGTAAAACATTTTTATAGTATATAAATATCAAAAGGTTAAAAGGTTATCTAAAATTACTAATGTTTTAGTTATATCCCCAGCCCTAAAAGCAATCATAGTGAGTTGGTAAACAACTGTATCATGGTACGTGTCTCCAAGCAAATAAGTGTGAACGAATGTGCCTTTTTACTCCCAGGTGTTGAGTTGATGACAACGCTGCACAGGCTCTGTGCCACTGATAGCATAGCGACGGCCTTCCTGTCCCTCACTGAACCCAGTGACAGCACGCCATCAGTGCTAATTTACAGTGCTTTACTTACGGAGTCATGGTCAGACAAAAAGTTTACACTGCAAAAATATAATTGCTATGAGCGGATAGTTTCTGGTAGGATGTTATGTACTTTCACATTAGTTAGGTGGATGGAGCAAATCTGACAACCAATAAGTGGATGATGCAGAGGACAACTTTTCTGTCAGTGTTGCCAGGCAACGCTACTGAAAACAGGCAACAGGGTTAAGCACAGGGAAAAGAGTTTGGCTAATGTTGAGTCTGTCGTCTTTACCAAATTAGTTACAGCATCATTGCTTGCTATCTGTTTCCAGTCTGGGCACTCCATAAAACTGAAAACCTTCTCAGTCATCTGTGCCAACACCAGAATTACTGCCAGTTAAATAGCAGGGTCTCAAAAAAAGACTCAAAAAAGATGAGAGCTTCCTAAAGGCACAGGCTGCAGATTTTTTTTTTGTCGAACGAACCCCAAATGCAAATCGGATGCCAGTTTAATGTTTTATCACAGTGCAAAAGATAAAATACTGAGATTCAATTACAGTCAGAAAAGACAAATATGAGATGAAAAAGATGGTTAAAAAAGGTTCAGGCAGATTGTGGATTATGATCAGAAAGCATGCTGGCAAACTGAGAGGTGGTGTTTGCCATGATCGACTGTACTGTTTACCATTTCTTTTAGCATCTCTGATGCAGCTTCTGAAGCACATTCAGAGGAGTTCTTCCGTTACTACTTTTGTATTGTTTTTGTATTGCTTTGCACTCAACTACAATGGGCTGGATAAGGAACAAACATATGAATGGTCAGTGCAGACAGGAAGTGACGTAAGAATGGAATAGACAGACAAAAATATTTTGGGTCCTGTACGAAAAAAAAGGGATGACATGCAGGTTTTTTAAAATAAAAATGGGTCACTTTAATACTGCCAACTTACCGCTTTGCCAAACTCCATTTCAGAAAAGAACCTATACCAAGGCTCATTCTCTAAATCTACATCTTCTGGACTTATGTCCTGAGTCTACAGAAATATGGCAACAAGGAAAGAAGGACAAAGAGAAAGAGAGAGAGAGAGGAAGACTCAGAATATGAATGAGATATACAAGGAGACTGAATGATGATGTTACATGAATTATCTCTTAATGTCATAATCTCAGACAGTAAGAAAGGCTCCAGGCTGAGAGAGTGGAGGAAACATGAATTGGATTTGTTTCCAGCTTGATGACTTATTGCAAGAACATCTGGTTGATCTCAGCAGTCAAAGGAACAGGAAATAGGAAATAAAGATCTCATAAAGGCAAAGTCCTGATGATGGAAAGGGATCCATTAGAGCTAGGGAGAAATCTTTTACACTGTATGACAAGTGAATAAGGGGAATAAACATATTCACATACTCAAAATGCTAATTTTATCCTTCTGCTATGAATATCAATATTTTTGCATTGATGGTTGTAAAAAAAAATATTTGCTGTTCTTAAAAAATATCTGTAATACAATAATAATGCTAAATTTAACATTATCATTCAAAAGTTTGGGGTCAGTAAGTTTTTTTTAGATGGAAAGGGATCCATTAGAGCTAGGGAGAAATCTTTTACACTGTATGACAAGTGAATAAGGGGAATAAACATATTCACATACTCAAAATGCTAATTTTATCCTTCTGCTATGAATATCAATATTTTTGCATTGATGGTTGTAAAAAAAATATTTGCTGTTCTTAAAAAATATCTGTAATACAATAATAATGCTAAATTTAACATTATCATTCAAAAGTTTGGGGTCAGTAAGTTTTTTTTTTTATTATTCAGCAAATACACATTCAATTGATCTAAAGTGACAGTAAAAACATTTATGATGTTACAAAATATTTCTATTGAAATCTTTATACCTTTTAAAGGAATAAGGATCATGTCAAGCATCATGTGACACTGAAGACTGGAGTAATGTCATTGCAGGAATAAATTATCTTTAAAATATCTTGAAATTAGCTTTAGAAAATAGCATTTTAGATATTTACTGTTTTTACTATATCATCAAATACATTTTCTTTAAAAACATTTAAAATTGTTATCAACCCCAAACTTTTGAACGGTAGTGCACATATATCATTTAAATGCAATTAAAATATTTCACAACACAGAATTTTCACAATAATGATGGACTGTTTCTGCAGAGCTAAATCAAATGAATAGACACAGGCAGCACATTATCTTCTGCCCTAGATAGGACCTGACCTAGAGCCATTTTAATTACTTTCCCTAACAATGAGAGAAAAAAACTAAAGACCTAATGCAGCCCGCACATTCTCTGCTTCAGCTGTTTCATTGACGAGGATCCAACATGCTTTGCTTTACTTCTACAATAAACCGATTACAGCGGTATGTCATCAGAAAGACATTATGTAATAGCAGCAGCTCCCAGAATGAGTCATGTCATAGTAACAAACCTTCCATTAAAAAGACCAGACTGCAGGCACATACAAGCCCCTGCAAGAGCCTCTATTCTTAACTAAGTCTGGACACTACAAGTGTCACTTATTGATGATCTTTTTGAGTAAGGGGTCCTCCTACTTCCTATATTCTAACGTTACTGTAAGATACAGTGTGTGCATCAACACACAAGATATATATGCTATCTATCACAACATTGAAAAGGGTCGCCAATACAAGTCACCTACCGAGGTCACTTAATAAGACTACCAAGACACAGCTGTGAGTGTGCTGTCCTTGTAAGTGAAACAGGCAGAATACAGCTCTTGCAGCATCAAACGGCATGCACAGGTCTGCACCACCATCACCAGTAAACAAACATGCATGTATAAAGAGCATCATACCGGTCTCTCTAGCTTCAGCACTGAGGACTTTCCTGGCTCGTACTCAAATATGCTCTTGGGCTCAGCGCGGTACTTCCTGGTGTCTACTTTCTTGTCAGGGGGCTCCCACTCATTCCTGCAGGGATGCATGGGGGGAGAGATGGAGTCATACAGCAAGGGAGGTGGAGAGTCACCATGGCATCCAGCAAGGGCAATTTTTAGCTGTACGTTCCCATACATGCAGCTTATGTTTTAAAAACACATCATACATTACATACATATAAGCACTTAAATCATCTAACCAATCTACACCAACATGGGTTCAGTTACCTATTTTGTATAACTGTAATTTAACACAATATTTCATTATAAATTATTACAATGTACTTTACAATACATCTCAGATCTTTGAGACTTTATGTACTAGGTACCATGAACTAACAATTAATATAAATTTTTTAACAATTTATTAATCTGCATTGTGATCTATGTTCATTTATATGAATAGATATAAATAAATTACATATATTTATACAAATATTATAACAATAATACTGTATAACACTAGTATAGCAACAGTTTATTTATATAAAGGTATATAAATGTGCTACTGTTTATACTATTAATTCATGTTTGTTCATAATAAACTAACTTTAAAAAGAAATAAGAATAAACATTAACCTAGAAAAATAAACAAAGCACAGTTTAACGTTAGTTCAATAATTCAAGTGAAAATGTAAACATTTAAAAAATATCCATAATTTAATAATTATGCTATATTTAACATTATTGTGCATTACCATTCAAAAGTTTGGGATCGGATGAATACGATTTTTTTTTTATTCAGCATCATTACTTTTTTATTTTGATAAATTTAATGCATTAAAGACATTTATAATATTACAAAAGATTTATATTTAAAATAAACATTGTTCTTTCTGACTTTCTATTCATCAAATAATCCTGAAAAAAGTGTAAATCCAATAAATTTCTGAATTTCTATATTTGTGCAAATCTTGATGATTCATGTTCTCCACAAATAGTGCAGAATCTTAAAAATGTCTTATTCATTTAATGTCATTAAATGGTTTTGTGTTTAAAATCTGTCAAAATGCTAAAAACCTTGTTTATCCCCAGTTTTAATTTAGATTTTGAATTCATATATTTGAATTTATGTATATCAAACCGAAAGTAATCTACAAAGATTCACGGTAAAGACACTTTATGGTAATGACTTTTCTGCTAGTGAACACTGATGACTGAAAGAAAGGGGTATCTATTATTAATTTTAACAGCAAACAGCAACATCTCCTAAGCCAACACATGCTTGTTAATGCAGCATGACAAATGCTAAAATACAATGTTGCACATTTTGAGGTTTTGTGAAGAAATGTCATCATCTCTATGTTGAGCAACACTAGCATGGTGCAAGAATTCACACCATAATACGAAAGTTTCAGGACATCAGTCAATAAATGTGCTAGAATCTCCTTCAGAAATCATTCTATTTGTTTCATAGTGTCACGGCTCACCTCTGAGGTTTTAGGGAAGATGTGCGTGTTGGCACAGGCAGCTGTCCTCTGGAGCTCCCCATGTCTACAGCACTCTTGGAACGAGGGACTGCCCGCACTGAAACACAGCTTTCCTTTAAATAAGAATAGTGTAGTTTTTATTTTCTCTCACGGGATTAAAACGAAAACACTTACCATCCTCACCAGAATATGACGGCCTATCATCTGAAAAAGTCAGAAAATACTTATTAGGCACAAATAAAACTTAATACTGAGCGATGAAGCAATACACCTGACATATTTTTGTGAAACTTACAATATATTATATTTATTTCACATTTCAAATGTATTCCTAAGGTAGTTTGTAACCTCTTTTCTTATTGTGCTCTACTTGGTGTAGCCTGTGCTCTAAAGCAGCATCTTTGGGAGGTATTCTAAATATCTAATATATACTAGGTGAAAATTACAGGGATTAGTGTGACATATATAGCAGTCCATTATCAACTAAACAGCAGCCAAGACAAGGCCACTTTATTTCCCCAGACTAATCCAACCAGTAGATGGCACTATAACCACAGCGGTGTGTTTTTTTGATGCTGGAATTTTCCATTGACCTCAAAGTTACAGTACAAATAAAAAAAAATCACCGCAATCTACTGAAAGGAGGCATTTCAATGATGATTATTTAACAAATACTTGAGACCAGCATTATTCTGGCTGACGGTAGGGCTCCGATTAGTGCCACTGCCCTGCTCCACCACAGCTTCTGAAACACACACTCAGATCATAAACGTCCAGAACACAAGATAAAATACACACTGGCCTGGTACTTTCAGCTGATATTTATCTAGGACAAAATCTTTAAAAGGATCACTGAATGATTTCATGTTTAAATGAATAAATCATGGCTACAGCCCTATTTGAACGGCAATTGTTTTTCCTAAGAAGGTCAGATATATTTGCATTTGACAGATGTACTTTGTGATTTTAATCCCTTTGGAATCAAACATGTTTCTGTTTTTCTTGCAAACCTTCTCCTCATTTATTTTGACCATTGTTGAATACCATAACTACATTTCCCGTGGCACTGACTGATGCATCTTTATTATGAATTCAACGAGTCCCCCCTGCTGTATAGAATTTTTTTTTTTTTTAAGAATCATACTGAGCCCAAATTTCGAACAGTAGTTCACATTTTATACAAAATGTTTAATCTCCACTCCCATAACCATACACTCCCAACTAATAATTACAGAGATCCTATCCAGTACATGAAATCGCAGACGTCTTATGGTAATTTTAACTCAAACTAATCACAAGGGAGAGATCATTCTATATCGTTTCTCTTTCTATATCATGAAAGCATTTAGCTTTTTAATGCACATGATACTTTTACTTTTGATCCCACCTGAAGTATTGAGAGGCTGTTATTTACCTCTGCTGTGCTGCGGCAGGACAATTGTTGGGTTGACGCTGCTGGTGGGGGGATATGAAGAGGACACTTTGGCTGATGAAGTAATAGCACTCAGCTGATCAAGGCAGGACGTGAGCTGAGACTGACCCTCACTTACAAGTGAGTTCACCTGAGGAGAACACACAAAAGCAGACACTCTAGTGTCACATACTGGTTGTGAAATACAGACAACTTTTAATTTCCCAGGATTCCTCATGGGGGAAATTTGCTTCACTAAACTTCTCTCTCGAGCAAACAATTGTTGCAAAGATCCTTCTGCAATGCTGCTGTAGACAATGACAGATAACATAGGATAGCACTTATTTGGTTACTTCTAATTAATTGCTTTCTGTGTTGAGGAGGTAGTCAACACCAGGAGTATTCCACTTTATAATTACTTTTATTAAGATTTATTTAATGCTTAGTCAGTAGTATTTTTATAATATTATAGTACTTATTTGTATAATTCACATAAAATGACTAATATTAATAAATTTTATATGTTCAGTTTTCATTTTAAAGGGATAGTCCTCCAATCAGTTGGTGGTAGCCATTGACTCTCATAGTATGGAAAAAATACTACGCAAGTCAATGGCTACCAGCAACTGTTTGGTTACCAGCATTCTTCAAAGTATCTTATTTTGTGTTCAACAGAAGAAAGAAATTCATACAGTTTTGGAACAACATGAGGGTTAAATGATAATAAAATGTAACATTTTGGGTGAACTATCCCTTTAATTTTTGTTTAAGTTTTAGTCATTTTGTTATGTGCTTTTGTCAGTGGTCTACTTAGCTTTCATTTATTTTTAAGTTTTAGTAATTTTAGTACTTCAACATATTCAACTTACTTTTTCAATTAGTTGCATTTCTACATTTTTAATGTGATAGTTTTATATAATTTTTAATGTAATATTTCCAATAACATTTTTATTATTTTAACAGTAAAATTTTTAGTTAACAATAACACTTGCTTAACAAATAGTTCGTTAAAAATTTGTTAATAGTGAGAAATTACATACTTTTTTCATGTAACTTCTCCACTAATTCCCTAGTGTACCTTCAAGGATACATAATTGAACCCCTTGGATCTACACCATTATAGATTTAAAAAAAAACTAGAAATGTCATCTTGCTTGTAAAATATTGACAACATTCAGTCAGTGCACTCATTTAAATGATTTTAAGATTGAGGAGTTCCTCAGTGTCTCCAGAGATCTTGGGATCAAGCTGTTTAATTAGCACTGATATCAATCTCTGGCATTTTTGCAAGAAAGCAAAGCACTGCTAAAAAGGAATGACGTTCAGACATGGTGACTCACCTTTCTTGGTGTCTCATTGACTTGAGTTGAATTTAAATCAGCTCCGGTGTTGTTTACACGTTTCTCTGCCAGACTTGTTTCTGTGGCATCTCCATTGACCGCACCAAGCCATCCACCTGCAACAAATCCAAACAGTTTGGATTCTTAAAGGATCAGGCAATCTCCAAGGCTCTTTATAAAACCTAAAAAGGCATAAACATGAAATAAAGCTGCCTCTACTTGGCAGTGAACCTGTTTGTTTTCAGCGTTAACCACAATTTATGCCACAACAAATTCCTTGATCTTCCATTAAACGAATCACCAGCCAGAATCTGTCAGAACTGAACCCCACAGAAAGTCTTCATCCACAGAGAAGCTAATTTATGACTGGAAAAAAACGATTCTCTGAACTTTGTCAGAAGAACAAGGAGACCATTGAACCCACTATAAGAAGTGATTGTTCCAATGGCCTTTTTATTCAGGCACAACAACAATTAAGGCATCTCTCCCAAGTGCTGGCAGTTAGCCAGGATAGTCCCAACACTGAAGGTTCCCGTTTCCACAGCTCAAAGTGGGTGTGAACAAAAGACATCTTTGATTATCCCCTGCAAATATGAACGTTCACTGAAAGTTATTTGAGCAGAATTAGAATCAGAATGAGCTTTATTCGCCAAGTGTGTGCAAACACACAAGGAATTTGTTGTGGTTTTTAGGAGCTCTTGGTACAAACATACATACATACATATATGACATTGAGAACATAAGATCATTTAAATAAGTAAGACTAAGGGAAATAATAATAATGTGGTAAACATCTGGAACAGAAGATTTACGTACATATTTGTGCATTATTTATGTATATAAATCTATGCATTTACATAAAACTTGAGAGAGAGGCAATAATTAGTTATTAAAAAATTAATTACAGACGACAGGTGGTAATTTGAATTTATTGAAAGGATAGCCCCTTGAGATGTAACATCTCATTTTCAAGGGGGTCCTATAAACACAAAAACAAAATATTACATCATAAACAAAACAACCATACAAAACATGTACACACACAAATATACAAAAACAAAAGACATGCTCAATCAGTCCCCCACTCCCACAGCATGATTACAAAACAATCAACATCATACATAAGCAGAATCAACAAAAGAAAACTTAGAAACATACACAAACTATTTTGAGATAAGAAAATATAGATAACCTAAAACAATAAAAGGAAGTAGCAGATCTCAAAGACTGACTGGACTTTCTCTTTTCTTTAGATACGGTTGCTCCTTTACGCTTAAAGAATATTAAGGAAAACAGACTGACACCATGGCATAACAAGCACACTCGGAGCCCGAAAAATGGAGAGCAGCTGGAAGAAAACAAAACTAGAAGTATTTTGTATTGCATGGAGGGAAAGTACTTCTACTTATAGAAAAGCTCTAAAAACGGCTAGATCTGCTTACTTTTCGTCTCTTTTAGAAGAAAACAAACGTTTACAGTGGCTAAATTAACGAAAAATAAAGCATCAACAGATGCAGACATTTCCCAACAGCACAGCAGTAATGACTTTATGAACTTCTTTACTTCCAAGATCGATACTATTAGAGATAAAATTCTAACCATGCAGCCATCAGCTACAGTATCACATCAGACATTGCACTATAGATCCCCTGAGGAACAATTCCACTCATTCTCTGCTATAGGAGAGGAAGAATTGTATAAACTTGTCAAATCAACAAAACCAACATTTATGTTAGACCCTATTCCATCTAAGCTACTAAAATAGGTGCTTCCAGCTATGTTCCTTCTTAGAGAGAAATTGTCTCTGAGAGGATTTCCAGTCAGGATTTAGACTGTATCATAGTACTGAGACTGCTCTCATCAGAGTTAGAAACGACCTGCTCTTATCATCCGATCGTGGTTGTATTTCTCTATTAGTGCTACTGGATCTTAGTGCTGTGTTTGACATTATCAACCACAACATTCTTTTGACTAGACTACAAAATTATGTTGGCATTAGTGGAATTGCATTGGCATGGTTCAAATCTTACTTATCTGACCGTCATCAATAACAGCGAATGAAGAGGTATCATATCGATCACAAGTACAGTATGGAGTACCACAAGGCTCAGTACTAGGACCACTGCTTTTCATACTTTACATGTTTCCCTTGGGAAATATCATCAGGAAACATGGTGTTAGCTTTCACTGTTATGCTGATGATACTCAGCTCTATATTTCTTCACGGCCTGACGAAACATACCAATTCACGGAATGCATAGTTGGTATAAAAAATGGATGACTAGTAATTTCCTACTGCTAAATTCTGAAAAAACTCAAAATGTAATAACCTAGAACACTGTCTAACAATTGATGGCTGCTCTGTCAATTCTTCATCATCAGTTAGGAACCTAGGTGTGTTATTTGACAGCAATCTTTCCTTTGAAAACCATGTTTCTAGCATTTGTAAAACCGCATTTTTCCATCTTAAAAATATATCTAAATTATGACCTATGCTCTCAATGTCAAATCCAGAAACGTTAAGTCATGACCTCAAGGTTAGATTATAGTAATGATTTATTGGGTGGTTGCTCTGCACACTTAATAAACAAACTCCACCTGGTCCAAAATGCAGCAGCTTGAGTTCTTACTAGAACCAGGAAGTATGACCATATTAGCCCGGTTCAGTCAACACTGGACTGGCTCCCTATTGAATATCGTATACATTTTAAAATCAGGCTAATTACTTATAGAGCCCTGAATGGTTTAGCTCCTCAGTACTTGAGTGAGCTCATATCACATTATAGTCCTTCACGTCCGCTGCAATCTCAAAACTCTGGCCATTTGATAATACCTAGAATATCAAAATCAACTGCTGGCGGCAGATTCTTTTCCTATTTAGTGCCCAAATTCTGGAACAATCTACTTAGCGTTGTTCGGGAGGCAGACACACTCTGTCAGTTTAAATCTAGATTAAAGACTCATCTCTTTAACCTGGCATACACATAACACACTATCACACTTCTATAATTCAAATCCGTTAAAGGATTATTAGGCTGCATTAAATAGGTCAACCGGAAACGGGAACACTTCCCATAACATAAATGTTTCTCCATTTCTGTCACCGATGAAGTTTTGGTTCCTTGCCACTGTCGCCTTTAGCTTGCTTAGTTGGAGACACTTAATTTCTGGCAAGATTGTCGCCTTGATTGCACAGACACTATTAGAAGAGAGCAGAACTGGATGATGACATCACTGAATTATCTATGAACTGACTTTAGCTGAAAATTTTACTTTGTTATTGTCCTCTTGCATTATTGACAAACTATTTTCCTACTTGGCACTGTAAAGCTGCTTTGACACAATCTGTATTGTATAAATCGCTATATAAATAAAGGTGACTTGACTTGACTTGACTTGAAGCAGGAGGGGACTTCACAGAACTCCAGTGATCTGCTGAAGATCAGTGTGAAGATGGATTACAGCTGGACAGCACAGGCTTTAAGGCAAGCTGGAGAAACACTGTCTGGGCCTTTGGCTTTCATTATCTTCTGTTTCCTGAAGACTTTGCCTACATTATCTTCACAGATCTTAAGTGCAGGCTGAGAAGCAGTAGGGGGGAGGGAGGGAGGGTGTTGATGGCTGTGTTGTGAGATGGTCAGAGTGGGTGTGGGGTGTGAGACCAGGCTTTTTGAACCTACAGTAAAAACTCAAACTGTCAGCTAAAAGTTGATTCTCCACAGTACTGGGGGATGGGGTCTTGTAGCTGGTGATGGCTTTCAGGCCCTTCCACACTTATGTAGGGTCGTTGCTTGAAAACTGTTTTTTCAGCTTTTCAGAGTAGCTTCTCTTATCTCCCTATTCAGTGTTTATTTGGCCTGTTTGTACAAGGCTTGGCGAAGCTGTTTGAGTTTTGCACTGAACCAAGGTTTGTCATTGTTATATTTTAAATAAGTCCTGGTTGGAACACACATGTCCTCACAGAAACTGATGTAGGATGTCATGGTGTCAGTGAGCTCATCCAGATCATTGGCTGCAGCCTCAAAAACACTCAAATCAGTGCAGTCAAAGCAGGCTTGTAAATCCCATTCTGCTTCATTAGTCCATATCTTTACAGTTTTTACTACAGCCTTAGCAGATTTAAGTTTCTGCTTGTAGGCTGGTAGAAAATGAACCAAACAGTGATCAGAGAGTCCCAGAGACACTCGGGGGACAGAGTGGTATGCATTCTTTAAAACGGTGTAGCAATGGTCCAGGACATTGCTGTCCCTGGTGGGGCATGTGATGTGCTGTATTTAGGCAGTTTGCGGGTGAGATTAGCTTTATTAAAATCACTAAGAATGATAATGAAAGCAATGAAGTTGACTGTCAGACAATGCTGTGTATGTTCCAAAAAAATACAAATCTGTCTAATTTGCTGTGCAATTTAGCAACTAACCACATCATGTCCATTGACTGTTAAAATAACATAACATGGACCTTTTCAGTAATAGGAAAAGAGGAAACTCAAGAAAACACCATTCCTGTAAACAGAAATCTTTCCAGTTAATGGGTGTACAGTAAAAAATAAAAGCATTTAGTGCACATTATCTGCAACTACAAACATATAAGTAACATTATGACAGCACACAACAATTAGTCTGGCACTGTTCTGCTTTGTGCAATATATTCAGAGCACTCTCCTATTGACAAATCCTACATTTCCAACTCACTTTTGGCAGAGTTCTTGGATAGCTCTTGGCTTGTGCCGTCCTCATCATCGATATGCACTAGTGTGGCCCTCAAAGTAACAGCACCCTTGCCCTTGCAAACACGGGTAGGGTCCAGCTCTGCAAAAACATAGCGCAAAGAAATTCTTTCAAAGCACTAAATAAAGTTTTATATTACTCATTTGATATTACTCAGAACGTTAGTCCCCCAAATACTACAAATGCTGCTCTTACCAGTGGGCATGAGATCAGGGGAACTCTTCATGATTCTCAAAGGTGTTACTCTCACAGCAGATACAGTGCGCCGACAGGGTGGACATGCTGCAAGACACATACATCCAAAAAATAAACTAAGTAGAGCTTGCATCTATCATTGTTTTTAACCTCCTCTGTGACATTTTGTGACCCACTTGTTGAGAACCACTGAGCTAGTTTTACGGAGTTATTGTTAGACTTTATTAAGAACAGCAGCACTAATAATGGTCATATAGAGACCGGAGGGCTTTTTAAGTTCTTGGAAGATTGTAATCACAGTGTTCTCTGAAGGTTGGCACAAATATCAAGGAAAGATGGATGAACGGAAGGAAATAGGGGGCCTGGCAGTGAGAATACTGATTCAACAATGACTCAAGCCAGAGAAGAAGACAGAGAGAGTCTGTTTGTGATTGCTTACTCATGAGCCTCCTGCATCAAGACATTAGACAGCTATTATTCCTTGCTACTGTCTTTTATGTATTACTTAATACGGTGTTACAGCTTAAACGGTGTAAAAGAGGCTTAAACAATATCATACGGTATCATATATTTCAGTTGTTTTCAATATCGGTGTTGTAATTGTTTTGTATTGCATGTTTCATTCATGCCCATTTAATTGTAACTAAAGGCTGGTGTAACCTCAAGAAACTGGATGGAGATACTGAAAATGTGGCATGCTTACCAGGGGCTGCATCAAATTTCCCTGTGCCCTCTGCTGGAGAGCCCTGCAAATGACAATGGATGAAAGCAGAGATTAAGGGAGATGCTGAGACAGGGAACAGTGTTGCTCGGCAAGTCATCAGGAAAGAGAACAAAGAATATTGAGTGGTTGGCAATCAAGATTTCGGCAACTCAACAACAACACCTTAAAGATATGTTCCTTAGCATTCCTACAATTGCAAAAAAGCTGGTGCAAAAAGTACGGGTGGGCAATATAACCAAAATCTTATTTTACAATTTGAGAAGTGTTATCACAATATATCGTCCTGCTGCCCAGCCCTAGCGAAAAGTATGACACTTGAGCAGTGATCACCCCCAAAAAAAAAACCCTGGCCTATTTGTTGAAATTGCTTGCTTGACTTGCTTGGTATATTTAGGCCTGATTTCAATGGCTTTGAGTGGGGGTGGGGGGTGGGGGGGGTTCTGACATGTTGGTGTTACATCTTTCACTTGAATGTTATATAAGTTGCACTGAGTAAATGAGGCTGGATAAAACAAACTATGTCCATCTTCTTTCAGGCTGCAAAGTAACAAAATGAGATTATTTTAAAGGGGATGATTCTTTTCTATACCCACTGTAAATATTTAAAATCTGAAAACAATACGATTGGCTCGATTGTGAAATTCCAACCAGAATAACATTACAAACAATCCTACTAATATGTGCGTGAGGGTGCTGCTGATGCATGAGGAGACTGACAATCCCTCTAACTGATGTCTGTGGTTCACACTGAAACAAGATACAAAGTGACCTGTTACAGAACATTGGCTGAGTAAGAAAATATGGGTCAATGAAAATGTATGTGTTTCAGTAGCTGCCAATGGATATCCCTCCAATGGATATTCCATGTTTCTGCCCTGTAACAAATGAGTAAGTTGCTTTGGATAAAATTATCTGCCAAATTAGATAATGATTAGTATTTTAGATACTAATTACTATTTGCCAAACGAGAGCTTTCTTTAGACATACAAAATATTACAGAGGTCCTGGATAATTGCAGGTATTCCTGTAACATTTCTAATGGATCCCAATGTAAACATTAGCCATCTGTCTCTATGCGATATGTTCTGTCTCATTGACTTAGCCTACAGTTGCTGTCTATAGGAAATCAGAACCAGTTAATTAGCCAAATAATTAAACTTAGATCAATTAATGGAGCCTATATCTTAATGAAAGTATATTATATATATGTATATAGATATATAGATAGATAGATAGATAGATAGATAGATTAATAGAAGACTCTTTCAGATGTTTACAGAAAAGGCTGTTAGCACTGGATTTACCCACTTGAAAACGGATATCATCCTAAATTTGAGTTGTTGAACAGTTACGTAACAGCAATTGTGTAATTCAATAATACACAAATATGCTGTTTATTTTAAATGTTTATATAGTATACTGAATTAGATAAGTGGGTATCATTTTCCACTGTAAATTTAAAAACAGGTCCAACTATAACAGCTGCATGCATCAATCCATCAATCAAGAATCACACGGTTTGAGGATCCTTAATACTCTGAATTGCTCCACATGCTCAATAATCATAGTCAATAATCATATGAAACAGATTTATTTCTGCACATTAATCTTGTTAATATCATTCCGATTCACCTTACCTGTAAGGACCTTCACCTTCAGAGAACCTCAGCTGAGCTTAACTTGGTTTAAAGACCTAACAAGCACCCAAACATTGAGGGCACCCTTTTAAATGTCCGTTGTTGTGGCCTATCACAAAAATCCCAACTATCATGTTCTGTTCTCTTCAAAGAGCTGCTTTGCCTCTTTCAACTACCAAGATGGACCTGTCAGCACCTGCCACCTGGGAATGTGGCACCTACTTAGCAGGTCATGAACGAATTAAAGCATCCTACTATCCATCCACCTCTCCATCCCTGTCTGGCATGCCAAGCAGCTCATGAGGCTATGAACTATATTAAGATAACTGTAAGATAATAGACCAAATATGTTATAAATCTGGACGTTTGTCATACTAATAATATGATAAAGTATGGGCTGTTGGCTAGTGGTTAAACGGATCGTAGTTGATCCGTACGGACCAAGCCCCCACGTTTCAGACGGCTCTTCTGAATCCTCTGAACAGACACATACACATAAAATTATGACAAAATACCCATCTTGACAATAATTCAGGTAAACGCAGTCAGTTATGTCTCAAGTGAATGAAAACAGCTGAGAAAGAAATCGGATGTGATGTGTATCATTATATCGGATCCGTGCATCAGGTCTTAAAGGGACAGCGGCCTATAAATACTGCTGCTGTCATTAATGATCATCAAACAAAACAGCTGTGATAAAAATCTATATTTCATTTATACAGTGAACACTATGCAGTGTTATTTTCCCTAATTATTAAATTTCTGTATTTGAATACTACCAACCTTATTTTAATTGTAACATATTCTGTTGTATTTATCTATGCTTGTAATTTGTGTATTTGTTAAAATTTTTACTGCCTGTTCTCTTGTCTCTTTCATCATGTTTAAACTTTCTTAGTTAATCTAGCAGTATTTGCTGTGGTATCAAAGAAGTACTTTGCTTAAAGTAATAAATGGAAAGCAAGTTAAACTGAAATATTTTTCTTTTCTTGCTGATCCGAAAAATTATCCAATCTGTGGGTCAAAAACCGTAATGTGAGCCAAACCGTGAGATTTGTGATCCGTTGAACCACTACTGTTGACTGTTTGATTTGAGGAGTATCAGAATAGGGCATGGGCCAAGTTGGACTAGACACAACTTTCTCACAGTAAACAGTGATCTGGGTGGTCATATCAAGGTCAAAGGCAATAAGGCATGAACACTGACAGTTCAGGCCACTCAAGTGTATTAAAAACACTTATGATGATTACAGTCTTCGTCCAGTCCGCTAAAAATAAAATAGATCCAACACAGTCATTCAAATAGATTTAAAAGCCATGCTAGAAATTAAACCTCTTGACCACAACAAATTGTCTCTCTTTAGTCCAAAATCCCACTCCCCATATATTAAATCAAATATCTTTAGTCAGCTGTATTTTTTGTCATGTCATGCAACAGATTTGTGTTCAAACAGACAAATCATGCAAACAGACAAATTGCTGGAAACTTGTTGCATTGTGCTTGGTAACTGTTGCACTCAGTCCAGCTAGCCTTCTCGGGGCAAAGCTGTAAAACAGAGCCACAGTGGAAAGGCTCATGTCAGAGCCTTGTTCAGAACCAAAACAGTGGCCCAAACTCACTCAATGTCAAGCTGTAACTCTCAGGTCCACAGCTTTGGCTCATGTAGTTATTGGTAAGAAAAGGGGCGTCCTGCAGGGGCACTTAGTAGCTCAATAAATCAATTCCTCCACGGAGTCTCTTACATTTTAGCTCACTGCAAGACATTAATGTTTTATTTATAAAGACAAACTTTTTTGTTTTACAAAATGAAACTCCACCTTTACAGTGACTGTGAAGATATATATATTATATATAATTTTAAACCGTAAAAGATTTTTTTAAATGTTATGGAAAAATCTGTTAATTGGTTAACAGTTCTCTTACTATTTATGGTGAAAAACTGTAATAGATCTAACGGGACACTTCATGTCATTTTAGTTACATGAAGTTTAGTAAAACTGAATACTGTTAAATGTACAGTTTTTTTTGAAGATTTACAGTGAAAAGCCATAAATTGTAATTTGTGTATTTGTTAAAATTTTTACTGCCTGTTCTCTTGTCTCTTTCATCATGTTTAAACTTTCTTAGTTAATCTAGCAGTATTTGCTGTGGTATCAAAGAAGTACTTTGCTTAAAGTAATAAATGGAAAGCAAGTTAAACTGAAATATTTTTCTTTTCTTGCTGATCCGAAAAATTATCCAATCTGTGGGTCAAAAACCGTAATGTGAGCCAAACCGTGAGATTTGTGATCCGTTGAACCACTACTGTTGACTGTTTGATTTGAGGAGTATCAGAATAGGGCATGGGCCAAGTTGGACTAGACACAACTTTCTCACAGTAAACAGTGATCTGGGTGGTCATATCAAGGTCAAAGGCAATAAGGCATGAACACTGACAGTTCAGGCCACTCAAGTGTATTAAAAACACTTATGATGATTACAGTCTTCGTCCAGTCCGCTAAAAATAAAATAGATCCAACACAGTCATTCAAATAGATTTAAAAGCCATGCTAGAAATTAAACCTCTTGACCACAACAAATTGTCTCTCTTTAGTCCAAAATCCCACTCCCCATATATTAAATCAAATATCTTTAGTCAGCTGTATTTTTTGTCATGTCATGCAACAGAT